GCCGCCACTTGTGACTTTGCGTCACCCTGTCTGACAGCTAGCTTATGTTCGTACGTGCGCGAACCAAGCATCCTTCCTGTATAATTTCGGGGACAGTTTGGACATGGTATGCGATACACTACGCCTGACTGCTCACTGGGACTCAAGCGGTCCTTTATTCTCATGATACGGCTGCTCATGGTGGCCTTCCTTCCTTCGCCGACACCCTGTTTTAATCCCAACGTTGGTATTATATCTGTAATCGGGCGAAATCAAGCTGTTGCTGTTGGTGTCGCAACTTACTAGCTCGACCCAAGTTAACAAAATCGGTATACAGATAAACGTTACCGACAATAAGAAGGGAGACTAAAATAGCCCTTTATGGCTCATTAGGCGTCAGCAGCCAGCCCTACTGTTATCTTTGCCGACAGTGTTCATCTGTCCGCACTACTAGGCGCTGTACGGCGACCGCCTCAGTGCATATTCCTCGTGACCCGCTCGAATCTAGCGCAGTGCGCCCAAACGTCGTGGTTTGGAAGGCTACCAACTGATTTTGTGAGGAGTAGCTGACGTACGGACCGAGAGTGGGGCTGAAATGGCTCCTTTTTAATAGGGCCTCCATGGCACCCCCACTCAGCTGGGATTCAAGCCAGTTTGGTCATCCCAGTTTTTCTTTTCCTTAGTTGCTGGACGCTCGGCGATTGCTAATGGGAGTAACTCGTTGGAACGTTAAACTTTTGATGGAATGGTTGCGAGTTCGAGCCTCCGGTTGGGTACGCTTTGGGGTTGGGCATGGCTGACTGATGATGACCAATGAGCCAGAAATGGTTATCGCAACTTTCATTGACTTTGTCGGCAATGCCCATCTGTCTAGACTACTAGCCGCTGTCCGGCTGCTGGCGGGGCCCGAACGAGCTTAATGTAGATCGCGATCGGTGAATAAGGGTCTGGGCAAATATTATTGCCGGCGGAGAGAAGGGAGTTTGGAACGGCCATCATCAGCCAGCCGTAACCAACCCCAAATGGTGCCTCACTCGAGGCTGGAAGCCGCGAGCTTTTAATCAGAATTCTTACGCTCTAAGCAATACTGTCTACCTAGACTACTAGCCGATGTGCAGCTGCTGGTGAGGCTCTAGAGTGAACCCCAACGATTGGGTTTCGTTAGCGATAGGTAAGCGTTCATCAGCGAATGCAACTTTGTATAATCAGTTTGAAGCCAACC